TCGCACAGCCATTGAAGAGGAGTGGACCAACATTCCACAGGCCACAATCAACAACCTGATCAACTCTATGCGGTTGTGTTGTGTTGCACTGCGTGAGGCAAATGGTGGTCACACCAGATACTGACTGGTTTTCGGACCCCCCAATACAGTAAAACTGCACATTTTAGAATGGCCTTTTATTGTGGCCAGCCTAAGGCACACCTTTATTTAAAATAAGTCAATTTTAGCTGATGCTAACTGTCTAGAAGCATCAGCTAACATTGACTTATTTTCAGCATGGTTATGAATAAACATTCATATCTGTCTACTCGGCTAGTTGATCCAGATACATAGTAACTTAGGCTATGTGTGCTGACAAACAACTGACAGCTTTGACCTAAATATGATTTTCAGTTACAATAATTAATCCTAAAATTCGACATTAGTAACTTACTTTTAACAGCATCAGACGCGTGCGCTCGCAAGATCTCCCGGTTCTTACTTGTGAATTCAGTTCACTGGAGACTCGCACTAAACGGTTCATTTGAATCAGCGAGTTGTCGACTCGAGAACAGCTGCAATCGGATTCATTCGTGAATGAATCATTTGGTGCGATTTGCGAACCGATTTAACAGGTTCATTGAAAATAATCTGTTCGTTCATGAATCAGACACCGCTTCTGCGTCTCAGAGCACGTGCCATTTTATAAGGAGTAACGATAAGTTTTATGAAATGTAGTAAAGTAAAAAGTACGATCATATGCTTTGGAATGTAGTAAAGTAAAAGTAAAAGTTACTCAAAATAAAACTACTCCAGTAAAATACGGATACTTGAAAAATGCACTTAAGTACAGTAACGAAGTAAAGCTACTTCGTTACTGTCCACCACTGGTCCTTTGAACAGAGAGACCAAAGTGGAGATATTTGGCCATAATGGACAGCGCCACGTTTGGTGAAATCCTAAAGAGCATATCAGCACAAACACCTCATAGCAAAAGTCAAGCATGCTTGTGGAGGGCTGATGATTTTGGGCTTGCCTTGTAGCCACAGGACCTGGGCACCTCACAGTCATTGAGTCGACCATGAACTCCTCTGTATCCCAAAGTATTCTAGAGTCATGTGTGAGGCCATCCGTCCGACAGCTAAAGCTGGGCCAATACTGGGTCATGCAACCGGACAATGATACCAAGCACACCAGCAAATCTACAACACAACGGCTGAAAAAGAAAAGAATCAAGGTGTTACAGCAGTCCAGTCAAAGTCCAGACCTCATCCTGACTGAAATGCTGTGGTGAGAGCTGTGCATCAAACTAATGCCCACAAACCTCAATAAACTGGAGCAACGTTGTAAAGAAGAGTGAGCCAAAATTCCTCCAGAACGATGTGAAAGACAGATACAATCATACAGAAAATGATTACTTCAACTTATTGCTACTAAAAGTGGATCTACAGGCATTTGAATCATAGGGTGTCCTTAGTTTGTCACACATGGCTTTTCCATATTGGCTTTACTTTTGCTAAATAAATAGCCTAATGATGCGGTGTGACATGTCATGTGTTGTTGTTCATCTAAGGTTTTATTTTCCAAATTTTAAGACCTGCCAAGGATCAGATGATTTTTTATCATGTCCTGATACAGAAAACCATGGAATTCAATAGGATGCCCTTTCTTTTTCACATCACTGTAAGTGTGAATATGCATTTGCATTTACAATACCGTTTTATGCCACAGATTTGATTGGTGTTTTAATCGAGCACAGCGTTAGTTCAGTCAGGCCACGTAGGCATAGGCTGCGACCAGCTGATGCGGTCAGCTGTCAAATCGCTCCAATCACTACTTTTCTCCTATTAGATACGGGACATATATACGTGGCATTACTGCTCGGTAAGTATGCTCAAACTGCTCGCAAGCTAGGCGATACAGCTATTAACAGCATGAAAAGTTTGTTTGCATTATTTCTTTCACATCTTACCTGCTGCTTCCTGGTCATGGATACTTCGGACATCCTAGGACAAATCCTATCCGAAGAGTCTCTGGATGAGATCCTGGATCATTATACTGAAGACGTCGATCCAACCCAGCTAGTGAGACGCAGCTCTAGGATAGCAGCAAGGAATCCTTTCTCCATCAATGAATGGCCCAAAGAAAGGATCTTGTCCACCTTGTACTCTCTCAACGTACAAGTGCCTATGGATCTGAATCATGATCAGCTATTGTGTCTTTTACAAGAAGTTAATCAAGATCCGCAGCCCCCATCTACCAACGCAGTATCTTCTCTTCCCCGATCTACCGGCCGTAAAGCCTCGGAGAAAAGAAAATATCTCCACCGATCAAGCGTCTCCAACTCCAAAGAAAGTAAAATCATCCCATCCCTCTCAAGCTCCAGCACAACAGGGAGATCACAGGGTTCTCTCAGCGCTGCTGTCAATCCAAGGAACCCTCTCTGACATGGACAACAGGATCCAGGCGCTGGAATCGCAGCGCTTGTCTTCTGCATCTCGGGCGATGGTTGACGAGCAGACTTCCAGTCCGACATCATACTGCGCCCTTACTCCCGACTTGGCCCTTCCTAGAAGATCTCTCGGATCAGCGTTACCTGCCGCTTCCACCGGGGTGCCCTTCTTCCCCCCAGCAGCCGCCATTTCTCCCCAACTGCGCGCTCAAATCCTGTCAGGTAACGATATAAACTTGGTTAAAATATTGCTATGCGCAGAAACTAACGAAAGAAGGATCGTGGATTGTGGGGATATATCTGTCATTCTTAAAGACAGCGATCCAAGACTCACCAAAAGTCTAACCATGGCAGAATTTAATGTTGCTTTCAGCGTGTTCAGAGACATTATCTGCGAAGTGTATCCAGACAGGAGAAAAGAATTAGATACCTACCTAGCTATCATTTCGGATCTCGCCATGTCTTACGGAGGCACACTATTCTACGAATACCACAAATAATTTTCATCGAAAGCAGCAATGTACATACAACGCTTTAATCAGCGACTGGACTGGTCCGTGGTCGATCTTACATTAATCAGCAGACACTTTACGGGTCACCGAGCGCTGTCATGCTCACTCTGCGGTTCGTTTTTCCACACCGCATTTCTCTGCCCTAAGACCGCTTCAACTCACGACACTAGCGCTTCGGCGCAAGAACAGGTGAAGCCTGAAAGACAAACACCTCTTTGCTACAATTTCAATGAGAATGTTTGTACACGTAATAATTGTACATTTTTTCATGCTTGCAGCTATTGCGGGAACAGTCACCCGAAGTTTTCTTGTCCACACCGCACAAAATTTATAAAAAAGAAATAAACACTCCGGTGAACACCAAGGAGCTATCTAAAGCTCTGGAAAAGCATCCAAATCGCTGTTTCGTGTCTTACCTCATTTTAGGGCTCATGCATGGGTTTCTAGCTGGTCTTTCCTATCTGCCCACGTTCTTTCACCTGTCAAAACCTTCAGTCGGCTATCAAAGTTCCACAGGCCGTAGATGATCTGATGGGGAAAGAAATAGAGAAGGGGTACATGATCGGACCTTTTGATCAACCTCCCTTCAAACTTTTCCGCATTAACCCTTTAGGAGTTGCAGTTAGGAAATACTCAGGTAAAAAACATCTAATTATTGATTTATCCACTCCCCACTCCACCCTAGGGGTTCCAAGCATTAACAGTTTAATTCCCTCAGAACCTTTTTCCCTGGCTTATTCCACAGTGGACAACGCAATCAAACTCATTAAATTAGCCGGCAGAGGAGCGTGGCTCAGTAAAGCAGACATTACTGACGCCTTCAAAATCATGCCCTTACACCCCTCTCAGTGGCATCTTTTCGGGGTCAGTTGGCGAGGAAAATTAAAATTTTCAGTTAGACTCACCTTCGGGTGTAAAAGCAGCCCAAAGATATTCGATACACTGTCTGAAGCACTCTGCTGGGTCTTACTAAATAACCTCAAACTACCATTCGTTCTTCACCTGTTGGATGACTTTCTGCTCATCGACTTTCCAGATGCCAACCCATCGCGCAGCATTAATTCCCTGGTTAAAGCATTCAATAAATTCGGCATTC